AATTTTCAATTGGTTCACTTGATTTGAAGAAGCTCTTGGGTCGTAAGCGAAAACTCGCCCAACAAACACATTAAACGGTTGTTCCCAAGACCGTATGTAATGGTGGATTAGCAATCGGTTCCAAGCGAAAAAACACCTTCCGTCCAAAAAACGGACGAGCAAGATGAGTTCATCGAAAAAAACACGAAAAAGAGAGCTTGAATAATTGTGATGAGACATCAGCAGTATGCCATACCGACGCCTGGCTGTGACGCAACTACCACCGGTCGAACGTGGGCTAAGGATACTGCGACAGTCGCCCGGTCGCCTACGCAGATTCGAATCCGCGAAATCCGGGTTGCAAGGCAGGCGCCTTGTACTTTCGGAAAGAAAGGCGCATCAGTAGTACGCCGGTACGCAGCACCGAGGCTTCGCTGCCGCGCGACCACCACCGGTCGCACGTGGGCTAAGGATATTGCGAGGGTCGCCCTGCCCCTACGCAGACTCGAACTCGTGCTGTCAGGTTAGAAGAAAAGCTGGTTACCATTCGGCCACGGGCCGGCAATTGTGACAAGGGATCAAAAAGAGACAGTTCCTCATGAGTAGTAACCTTGTGACCAAACTGAGCGATACAGATCAATATAAAAACAACACGGGAATAAGATAAAAGAAGGGGGCTTACCTTTAAAATCGATTCGTGCAATCTTCATTGGTTCATCAGAGTCACAGTTCTGTGGGGAGCGTTTAGCTAAAGAGGAAGAAAAAGTATTGGAATGCAGCGGATGAAAAATTGAGGGAATCCGGAACGAGGATCAAAGTGAGACAAGATGAGGAGCATATAGTCTAGAGGAAGTGGAGAAAGTCGAATCGATGCAGGCAGCGTCTTGTTATGCTAAGAAAACTACTAAAAACTGCCAACCACAGGCCAAAACACAAGAATGAAGACGATGTAGAACATCAGTTCCGCGTAGCGGCAAGAATCTGAGAGTCTGTGCTTTGGGACAATGCAGTGGGATCAAAGGAGAGGAATTCGAGAGTACACACAATGGCGTGACCGAAACATGGATGTTGGCTATAGATCGCTAGATAATCATATACCAACGTGTGTCAGAGATGGCTGGTGTGGAGTTGATCAGTTGGCCAAACTACCCATAGATCGTTATTAAGCTCAACTAGCTCTTCAACAGTCAACACCTGAATGCCTGCATTGTGCGATTCCGCAAGGTAATATGATGGAGTCCACAAGGGAGGTGAATAAAGGTAAGCAGATTAGACTTTGTTCTGTTTGCCAGATGTAAGGTGTCGCAGGGATCGAGGTAGGAGAAAGTTGACTTGAAAGCCACTGACTAGAGAACTGGGTATCGTTGGCCCGTCTCCAGGCTAGAGGTCATGTGTTTGGCTGAGAAGTCACAAGATATGGATCACAGTCGGCACCAGTGGCGCGCCTGCTTTCTTCTAATCGGACTGCCTGTTTAGTGTGTGTGTGTGTGTGTTGTTGACAAAGTGTAAACACCTTAACCCTGAATGTTTGCTTAGGACATTTAGGTTTCGCGCTAGGTCTCCCTAACATTACGCGTTCCGTAGGTCACCGTGGTTATACGGCAGCGAAGCATCAGCTCAAATGACTGACGTGCTGTTGCTGTTGTTGATGATGATGGCTCCGATGATGATGATGATGATGATGATGATAAATCTGAGTACACGCCATCACTGTTGTGACGAAAAGCAGCGCGGTAGATGCGAGTGTGGCTAAGACATAATTGGAGAAGGAGTTTGCCACTATTAGTCTGGAAACGAGCTCTTAGATATTTGGAAGAACATACTGAAAAACAGTTTAGCAGGCCTGCTGTATCAGAAGTAATTAAGCCGTTTAAATTCGTAGGGAGGGATGATGCCACGTTCACGAAAGCAGAGGAAGCGAGACGTGAATTGTCTCTGCAAAAACGAAAAGTTAGGTATGAACCCAACTGTCCTCTTCCGTAGTAACCAAGAAAGTTTAAAGTTCATCGGTTGCTGTGTGAACTGATTCAATCAACAGACTATTCAACACTGAAAAGACCCATTTAGATGGAAGATAACGAACATCATCATCATTAAGTGTTCTATGATGATCACCTAGGAAGTAGCCATCGCAACTGCCTCAAAAATGATCAGACATCATATAGCGGCTAGTAGTTGGATGTCCCAAAAGAAACCATCGCAATTTAAACTGTGACACTCTAAACCTGCAGATTTCGGTGAGAACCAACCAAAAATAAAAGCAAAAGAAAGCGTACCAACAGCGCACCGGTAAATCGCATCGACATTTCGCTGCCACGAAGCCACCAGCAGTCGTGTGCAAGCTAGGGAACTGGTGAAGGCGAATGCACTTACACAACGTCGAACCGATTGATCTATGGATTACAAATCCGACGGCTGAACCACTGGGTAAGTGGCTAATCCGTATAAGATAAAAGTGTGGAGAAGTAGAAGAAATTTCGACCGAGTCGACTGGAATTCAATAAGCAAGCAGTTCCATGAACCAGCGAAGCACTGTACCGCACACGCAGTATCAGGGAAAACCAGGTCAAAACTTGAGCCACTAGTTGTTGCAAACGATAGCGTCGAACTTGTTGAGGAAGCGTGGGATACCAGCTAAACTTGTGGCTAAGTGTCCAAAGATGGTGTAACGTCCGGACACATCATCAATCACGGTTACAGTACGAAAGAGGTGGGAGCTGCCATCAATTAATTACTAGTCGGTACGCACAAGCAACTCGGCCTACTCCCTTCTCCTCTGCAATGTCATTCCAACGGGTTTGTAGTCACATGACAGTGGTGTCCCAAACAAAATGTCCTGATCAGATTTTGTTCTGCTCTCCGAGCTGAACAGTTTCGTTGCAAACGTTTCATCACCAATCGTGGTGACTTCTTCGGTACGTAATAAGCCAAATGAGTTGTTTTGTCGACTCTTACAGACGAGCCAGTGACATTTGAATTTGTTCACCTCGATTCAGGTCCCGTGGCCATTGCTAGCTCGGAGTTCGAGCGCCGCCTCTTTTCGACTCATGTGCCAAGTGATCCACGTAAACTCTTTTTGCGCAGCTGCCCATATATCGAACGCAAGTCGATGCGTTGGTTTAGAATTGTGATAAGAACTATGTGGGACAAACAGGAAGAAAATTGTCTACATGGCTACAAGAACACAAACGAGCCTGTCGAAACCATTACCCATCATCCTTGGTCTCGACAGACGTTGATGAAGAAGGGCACATATTTGATTGGGAGAAAACGGAGATACTAGCGCAAGTAGAGACCAAAAAAGGGAGAATACCTCGAAGCCTGGTTTTCTACAGACAGTTCAATAAACCAACGCATCGAGTTGGATCCCATATACGGGCAGATGCGCAAAAAGAATTTACGTGGATCACTTGGCACATGAGTCGAAAAGAGGCGGTGCTCTAACTCCGAACTAGCAATGGTCACGAGACCTGAATCGAAGTGAGCAAGTTCAAATGTCACTCGCTCGTTTGTAAGAGTCGACAATACAACTCAGTTGGCGTATTACGCACTGAAGAAGTCACCACGATTGGTGATGAAACGTTTGCAACGAAACTGTTCAGCTCGGAGAGCAGAACAAAATCTGAACAGATCATTCGAGCTACAGATATTCCGATTTATTGCTGAAAATGTCCTGATGATAATGATGAGGTTAAGGGCACGCAAAAATGGACCACAGTTCAGGTGAGTTAATGATTCACCAAATCAACGACGAGTGCTCATTCAGATATCATCTAATTTTCATTACATCTGTAGAAAAAGTGAGCACACGCTAATCTTTAAAGAGAGCCAATGTGTACAGTAACCAGGACACTTGTATGGCAACGCATCAATAATGCAAAAGAAACTCACCTGGGCGGAGAGGTCGATTCACCACGTTAGAAACTACACACGAAGGAGAGAGGAAAAATAGTGTGTATAATGTTAAAAGAAAAAACAAAGGTACAATGAAGCAAAAAATCAGAACTGAACGAAGCAGAAAGGCGGAACTGATGCAAAACATAGACATTGTTTTCGAATTTGTGCAAAAACAAGCGTAAACGTGCAAACCGCTATTGCATGTAAGGTGGACAACATATGCAGGAGTGTTCCGGTGTAGGTGGACATGAAATGGACAGCTTTGTCCTGGAACAAGAGAATGGATTCCACTGGTAAGTTACACTGCAAATGTGCGCCTTCCAAAATAATGCAGACCTAGGTGACGAAAAGTCTACAGGACGCAAAAGAAGTAAAAATTGACAAATTAAATGCTGAAAAGGTCCCATGATAGTAGGGACTGCATGTCAAAACGAGCTGTATTGGGTATACAATACAACCCCAGGAAAACAGCGATTACCAAATAGTCTCAATCATGTCGGGTAGTTCCGCTCAAATGGATACAATGTGGCAAGTTCCAAAGGATTCTTGGCTGAAATCCAATAGCTGTACACCAGCCTTTATGAGGGAAATGCTTCTTAAGATAAAAAAGGAAGAGCATTTCGGTGCTGACATCATACTACTGTTCCCGAGAGAGTAGTACAATAGCTGACAAAAAACGTCAGCTGCAAAGGACGAAGCGCTGGAGCGGACGCGGTTTATGCGAGGTGCGGGATCCACGATTGACGGATTCACAGCTTAACAGATAAAACGGAAGCGCAACGAAGGTGAAGTGATAGTTGGTTGTCATTACGAAGGAGGCACAAACTGCTTTTCGCTAACACAGCAGGGACTGGAGTATTCCGATCGCAATAGCCTCAATAGTGTCGATTCTAATAATTCAATCCCTACTGTGCTAGCAAAAACAGCTTGTTCAATCGCTGCCCCGACCGAAGCGCCATCAACTCAGCCGTCACCCTGACATTGGCGCAGACATTGTGATTGCGTAACACTCAATCGATCTGTGTGAATGAAACAGTGGCGAACTATTTGCCGCTTAAAAGCATTGACCTACTTAGTTCGGAACAAATCACTGAACCAATCATTATCTCTCACTTTGTATTTTAACCTTTTATGATTTATACGGGGCCGTAGATGTATCATTGAAGACAATTGTTTATTTCAGACTGGTGTTCGTGATGAATCGCTGAGAATGTTCCGTATTTTGACATCATTTTCATTTTAAACTACATGTCTTGATAACCAAACCTGACTTTAAGAAAACCAAAGGGGACGTTTTGCAAATCAAATTCGACATACTCATGAGTGGGGCATTGACATAGATATTTGAGGATTGTCACAGCCAGCTTCCAAACCAGACAGTCGTCCACATGCCCGGAAAAGCATCAGGCTGCAGTTTCGACAGTCGCGCGACCAGACAGGTTCACACACACACACGCACATGCCACAATACAGTCGATGGGGGGGGGGGGGTCACCGTATTTCATCGAAGTGAGCGACACGTACGGCGCTGTATCACATTTAGTAACTTATTCACGATGGTCGTTGTTGTCCCCCGTAGCTCAATGGTCTGAACCACGAAGTGGCAACAGTCGAGTTGCGGGTTCGAGCCCTACCAGGGTCCGATGGAATACGTACTGCTGACGATTCCCGAAAGGATGAAGCGCGCGTACAGTGCTTTTCCAGACGTGTGATGGCTGTCTGAGTGAGTCTATATGTGACGAATTTCGACCTATACCATACGAACAAGTCAACCCAGGACGATGATAGGAGAACGGATTGTTCCAGTGCCCCACCACTTCGACCACAATTCAGGTTGCATTTGCTTGTGGCTTGAACATCGTTCGGTTGCCTTGTTTCTTTCATACTAATAAATTGCTGATGTTCTGTTTAAAAATTAGACCGCATCCAGGTTGAATTGCAAGACGTTTATCTTGGTTAGCAAAAGGTCCACTCTGATTTGCAAAATGTCTAGTCTGACTTGAATAATCTGAAGTTTGGTTTGCGTAACATCCAGATTGATTTGCATAACATATAAGTGAAAATGGTCTATTTGCTGCATTCTGATAGAGAAAATTCTAAAACTATGGCCGGAGACAGAAAGTAAGCCTTTGCCAATGAATCACGTAGTCATCCATTGAGACAAAAATTTGAGGATCTCGGTGCCTGTAAGCAATATCAGTGCAACAAATCGCTGACTGTATCTTAGAGGCACGAAATTCGCTTGTATATCAGCTAAGGAAATACATTTCCATACCAGTGTTTCAGTTGATAGAGGCTGACAGTACCGGATCACTTGAACTTACTGGATACGACAAAAATGCGACCGAGAGTTGATTCTCAGCCTACTGGTGAACAGAAATGAGGCACCAGGCAATGCAAGTAAAGAGGCGTCGACATAATTGACATTTCTGACGAGAAAGGAAGAATACCCGGATGTTAAGCGTGATTAATGTCGGATGCTGAAGTCGGTTGCGCTGAAGCATATGTGGGACAATCAGGTTCAGCGAAGGAGAAAGGAGTGACGCATTGGCCACAGAGAGGAGGACCAATGCGGTCACGATGAGAAATGAGTAGGATCAAAGAAAAAGCTATTGTAACAGACAAAAATGCTCGGCATGTATTCACATGAGTTTTCTAATTATGCTATGGTCGCGTACAGTTATGTAACGGAACAGACAGATGGTACAGCAAAAAAGAGTAGTAGATTTAGCAAAGTATATGCATGTTAATCCGGTCGCCGTTGAGTGTGTCGTGTTGCCACGAGGTAGCGTCAGTCCGGTCCATTTGTTGGATGACAGTAGAATTGGAATATTGATGGAGTAATAGGCATCTTATGGATGGGAGGAATACTGCACTACGAGATAGCAAACCACTAGCCTATCATGAAGTTGGCTCTTTGTACAGACAAACCTGTCTAAGACGACCTCTTAAGGGACAGATAAAAAGTGGCTGATCCCCATACACAGGTGGTCAGCTCAGCCGGTTGGATGGTATTTGGTGTTCTTTACCATCAACAGTTATACAACACTGATTCAGAAGGCTTTGTGAACATTTGGCAATGCATGTGTTGGGTGGCGTTTCGCTTTTGTCAGAGAAATTTCCTTGAGAAAAGCTTTTGTATCACAGAAGCGAAACGTCGCCCAACACATATGTTACCCGATGTTTAGAAAATCCTCTGAAACGATGACTGCCCCAATTGATTCCAAGCGTATTCCATATGGCTTGTAGGTATCTACAACCCACCGAATGCGTCGAACGTGAGTAGCGCTAACATGACTTCTGTAGTTGACTTTGCATCAGCGTTTCCACACAGAGAGAAGAGAACTGCCGGTGATTTCTTCGGACCGAAAATACCCTGATCATTTCATCCAACGTCGACCTTGCACACCAGTTTTCTTTCTTCCATCAGAGCAAGAGGCTGGACAAAACGGGTTACTGGTCCAACCAAATCGGTTAATGTATTGTAATTAATATTCACACTAGGGATACCCAACCCACAGACCGAGATCTTAGACAGTCTCCGTGGCAGGGACTAGAAAATGATACAATTCAGTTTCCACATCAAAATGGTCACTAAACTCGCCTCTACACCGCGACGTGCAACCTAAAAATAATAAAGAGTATCAACAGCACGCCGTACCGACGATTTGCTGCCATACAAGAACCACAATTCGCATTGGGGATGGGGATACTGTGAGGGTCGCCCGGTCCCATACGCAGGCTCAAACTCGCGACCTCCGGGTTGCACGCCAGACGCCTTGTCCACGGGCTGGCACAACATAAACTGGGGATAATTTCAACGGTTAATCCGCTTTTCTGACTGAATACTGACAATAGAGAGCTAGCAGATACATATCTGCGTCGCTCCATCGTAGTTAGATTGGGCACATGCGAGGAATCACGTTGATGATTCCTGTGCGTTTGCAGTAAATTAAAGCTGCGCCATAGAGTATTCAGGTGCGATACGCTCCGACGGATCCATATCTGGTCGAATATAGATTTACAGACCTCTCAGCGTACTGAGGCAGGATAGTACCAGCCTCGGGCTAATTTTATCACCAAAAGTGATTCGCAGAAGCCAAATCTTCTGCTCACCATTCTTTTCAAGATGGACGATTTGCCACACCCTCAACCCCTGTTGACCAATGTCGAGGAGTCTGTCGGGCAGACCCTGAAGAAACTCGATGTGGTGGATATAGCGCGAACCAGAACATTCGAATCAGGTACATGAAATATAATGAGGTTGCAACCCAACTCGTCATCGGTAGTTGCTCTCTCCTTCTTCTTTCGCTGAGTCTTCCACTGGCTTTCATCTCTTACGCTAGGGCACAGCAGGACGTTACTGTCCTTCGGACACAACACAGACACACAGGCTGAGCCTCCAGTAACAGATGGACATCGTTCCGAAGATCTGGGGGCCGGTGAACAGGTCGGATAGTCCGAACACAGGGGTGGCTGGGTTCACGATCCTTGGAATGAACCCACGGAGCTCATCGCACATCTTGCTGACTCGCGAGGTTTCTCTACTGATGATAATTACACTTTAGTCTGACACTGCCTACACAATACTTAGACAAAGTCATGCTGAATCCCACGCAGAAGTGTAAGTTGGTAGATGGATAAACCAATGCATAAGATGTCAAAATTTACGTGACAAGTCAAACATGTGACAGCATTAGATGTATGTACAACAATTTTGCAACAAGTGCAACAGGGAGACTGATTCGTCATTACGAATGGCTTAGTATATATGAAGGCAAAAAAGTGGATCAATGAAACAACCAGAACACAAGTTAAGACCGTGCAACAAACAAATTCAGAGCCTGGAAAAGAGACTGAATTTGCCTAGAAATAACGCGGAAAACGGCAATGCGCAAGGTGACAAACAGAGCAAACGTGTCTGGCAGCAGAGTGAGCAAAGCTGACCAGTCTATGCATCATCCTCACTAGACATTAGCTGAAGGTGAGAAACAAACGACAGCCAATTGTGCAGCCATACAAAAGATGCATGAAGAGTGAGAAATTAAACATCACATGCCAGTGTTGGGAGGATCAACACCCAAATATTTCCATTCCAGATACGGTCCTCGAGATCGGAATGACCAAGGTTAACCTCAAAGTGAACCGAGGTCTCAATAGAAGTTGCGAGTCGCAATCCAACCACACTGCGTGCTCCCTAAATTCAACTTGAATTACTTTCCGCTGTGCCAAGCGTTGCTCGCAGATCTCAGTAGTGTAGTGTTCAGGGTGTCAGCCGTGAACTACTAGGCTCTGAGCTCCACCCCAGCTTAGGTTAACTCCACCTGATGACTCCAAACCAGGACGAAACCGCGGTCGTGGTATGCCAGTGTTGGGAAGAGCAACACCCACATATTTCCATAAACATCGCATAATAAAAACCAAGTAATATAACGCTGTGTCATAGTATCCATGCGAGGAGAAACCGTGGTTGAAAGGGTCGATAAGCGGGTAGGGGAGGTACAAAGAGACTCACGGCTTTTCGCCATATCAACAAGTGTACCCAAGCAAACGGGTTCCTGGTTCTTGGGATGCACCGACCGACGCCAAGTTCTAAGTCAGGGACTTCAATCCTCCAGGCCACAGTCGTGCAAACAACAAACGTCGCGGAAGTCGCTGTGCTGACAGGCCTAGCCATCGGAGACAGATGCGCGATGTAACGGTGCTGAGCGGTTCACTCGCTCTTCCTGCACCAAATACGGGACGCCGAACACGCTTATTGCATACGCGGTGCTCCTATCAGATATGAGCTAAGTTGGGACGGCAGCGATGGTTGAACCTAACGAGCCACTTTAAGTTTGTCGACTTGATGGGCAAGATGTTGCAACCGTTCAGGAGGGTTGAACGGACGACTACCTTGCAAACACTGTCCTTCAGGGCGAGAGTAATGTCGCCCCGACGTCGCAGCTGGTGGAGATTGGCAAAAGCACCTCGCGCTTTTTCTATACAATTCGGGAGCTCATCTTCGATCCCACGGGCGCAAATGTAGCTGTCTAGGTAAATGAATTCCTGAATGACTTCTACCTGATTCACAACAAGGGTCAGCGCAGGAGAAAGACTTTGCATCTCGAGGGTTCAAAGTACAGCCCGAAACGAATGATAGCCAGAGCTAACCTTCCAGTTCAGCTTGACACGTTTGGGAGCTAACACACAGATGAGGGCAATGTCGTCGGCATACTCCAAGTCAATAAGTCGCTCGCCTGGAAGTAGCTCCACACATACGTCGTGTTCAGTGAATGTCATTGCCAGGACTCCATCGTTGTCAAACTTAGACTAGTGTAT